TCCACATAACTATAAACCAATACTTTAAAAATAAAAATAAAACAAAAGCTTTAATTACAAAGCAGAAAGTTAGATCATTATGCCATGAAGCAGGAAAGTTACAGCACCTCTGGTGCAGCTCCTAGGCCAAGACAACACAGCCCAGCTGCGCTGAAGAGCTTTTGTGCACTCCTGCAGACAATCAGCCTCGCTAGAAGGGGCTGGCAGCAGGTGAGCCCCCTTCTGCTCCCCCTTCCACCAGCCTCAGCAGTCTCCCACAAGCACAGCGAGACTTCTGCTATCCAACTCAGAAAACCCAGGACCAGGTTGTGACTGATGGGAAGTACTTAGTTAGCAACGTGATAAACCACTCTGATGGCTAATTATAGCTACAGGGAACAAACCCAAGAGCTTAAATTACTACTTTACAATAAAATCTGACACCATGGGCCTGTGGAATAAATCGTAGGATGAGAATGTTGGTGCAAAAAAGGTATACCTTGCTCAAAATCAGAGAGGCAGGAGAGAGGCTGGGTGGATGTTGCATTGTTGATGAAGAATACATATTATACTCTTCACATACGCCTTAGAGATGGAGTAGATGCCAACACACAAATTCAGGAAATGTTGCTGAATACGGTAATGCTTGAAGTCTACTATAAATAACTAGAAGAGAAGGTGGCAACATTTTAAGAAAGAGAAAGAAAAATAGCAAAAGAGCCAGAAAAAAAGACTTTTTGTTTCCTCTGTTTATTGATACCAAGTTTTCCAGTGAAGGCCAGCAAGGACAGAAATTCCTGCATGGCAGTTCCTGGCAGTAAGCCACAGCAAACCACTTCAAAGCCTGCAAAAGACTGAACGCAAAGTAAAGCATTAATCCATCTAAACCCAGGAGCTTTCTAAATGACATGAGCATTTAAAAATACTAAAGGAGGGGAAAAGACTACCATACATCTCAAGGTGAACATAAACGATTAGCAAAGAAATGTGAATCATGTTGCCCTCGGCTACACGTGCAGGTCCAAAAGGCTGAAAGCTGCTGGATGAGACACGGCCGTGGGGGGCTGCAGAGGTCTTCGCAACACGAGCAGCAAAAAGCTGCTCACGCAGATGCTGTTGGCACCTGCAGATGGGGAGGCTGCAAGCACAGGCCCCGCTCTTGTCCCAAAGGCGGATTGTTCCCCTGGTGTGCAGCAGGCCAGTAGTCACATGCAGGAGAGACACAGCTTATTTATTTTAGGGTGGCACGAGCCCAGGTGCTCGGTGGTTTCCCACAAATCAAGCACAACAAGGGGATTTTTTGCGCTGTATTTGTACACAAAACTTGCAGAATTAGTGATTTTCCAAGCCCACCCTCTGTACGATTGGTTGGTAATTTACATACAATTATAATACTGCTGACACAATACTTCTCCGCCTGCTCAGGGGAAGGGTCTTTGCCTGGGCAAGGGTCTTGACCTATAGGTGTGATTTTTGGTATTACAATGAGGGTAGTTCAGCCAAGGGTACATGGACTGTGGGTTTGCTTGCTAAGTTGGCACTGTATTCCCTTCAAGGTCTAATTGCTCCAGGATGTCCTTGCTCAAAGGCCAATCTACCGGTTGTTCTGACGAGGGATGCCTTCAGCTTTAACACACACATCATCTTTCCCGACCTAAGCACAATATCGCTACGTCGGTCTAAAAATTAACGTTCGGCAGTGCCCGAGCACTGACGGGTTTGGCAGGGGCAGAGCAGCCCTGGCTCCCGAGAGAACCTCTGCGGCATCACCGCAACCGGCACCGCCGCGTGTGAGCTTCCAGCCCCGCTCCGGGCTCGCCCCCGGCCCCGCTCCGCGCCGGCGGATGGCAGCACCGGCGCAGGGAACGGAGCCGCCCGCCGCCGCTGAAGCGGGGCCCCAGCGAGCGCTGAATCCCGGTACCAGGTTACCGGAGCGAGCTGGAAATGAACCCACCGTCCGCCTGCCCTGAGCCGACGGGTTTAGTTTAATTCCCGGGGAAAGGGCTGCCTCTCGGTGACTGCGATAGCATAATCTCTGTGGCAGTAACAGAAAATGAAAACATCTGCTACTGCATATTGTTAAAATACACAGATTATGCCAAGGGAGAGAGTGTTCGGGGCAGAACTCCCCGAGGTTTGGGAGGACACAGAAGCTGCCTCCCCACGAGCGTAGGGAGCACCGCTGCGGCCCTTAGGAAAACAGATGACTTCAGCATGAGGATTTGGCACGGTGACAGGCCAAATCCTTGGGACACAGCTCATCAGGCACAAGCAGTGCCAGCAGTTGGACCGGGATGGAAAAACCTCTCCAGCCCCATAAACATTCACATGATCCCACGTGTCTGCTTCACCTTACTTTAGATTCCTAACATAGCACAGGCTAAGACAGTAGGAGACACAGAGCAAAGAGAAATAGTTCTCCCTCCTTCCCCGTCAGGTACTGCGCGTTCACAGCCAGCGAGGCAGCACAAAACAGAAACCCAACAAGAACCAAACCCTTGCAAGCATCTCCAGCAGATGCTTCTGTAACACTGTGGTGTGGCAAACAGCTCATCTCCCTGATCTAAAACAAACACATATAATGAATTCAGTGTTGGGTCTTAAGTTATAAGAAACCTGCTATACCTTCCCACACACATATATTGACACCTCCCGATTTCACTCGTCCCCACCAACAGCCCTTGAACTAGTTTGCGTAGCTTTTACGTATCATCGCTAAATCGTTCTTGGAAAAAAAAGGTGGTAATGAAAAGAAAGGAGTAATTATCAGTGTAATAAAGAGAAAAAAAAAACAAAACAACCCACCCCTGTCCTCAATAATTTATTTAAATAATCCTGCTTGGAAGAAGAACTCCAGGCAATATATGAAAAGCAAGGTGACAGAAGGTACCTCCTTGCAGTGAGAAGTAACAGGCGTTACATTTCCAAACTAATTCTGAATTGCTTCCAGCATGGTGATGCTTATTTGACATTATACAATACTAATAGTTTTTAAAAGTAATCTTACATAATTTAGCCAGCTGAAGTTTTAGCACAGTTACT